CCTTGAAATAGGAGCCAACAACTGACAGAACTGCCTGGAGAGGTAGATAAAGCAACCATTGGGCTTGGGACTGTGAATACAGTCCTCTCTGAAATGATAAATTGAGCACAGAAAGAGTAAGCAAGGGTCAAGAGTATTTGAAGGGCATGATTAATAACTTGATCACCCTTGGAACAGTCTCAAAAATGAATCATGTACCAGACCACAAATGAATTCTTGACATACTCCGGTGACTTGATATCCTACAGACTGCTCAGATCACAAAGAAGTTAAACTAGAAACAACAGTAGCTGGATAGCTATTGGGATCTTATGTGATTGCATATCTAACAACATTGTTCTTAATAAAAGACTCATTGGTTAAGAGGACGTCATAATAAATTAGATAAATAAAAAACTAAGAGCAGAAAAGCAGCATGTCAAAAGTTGTAGAAAGCAAATAAAGCACTACTTAGAAGGAAATCTAAAACTTTGAATGCATTTATCACAAAATAAGAAAAACAAAATAAATAATTCAACCATAGATAACTTCAAGTTCAACTCAAACTCAACTCAATCATAAAAGAAGTCCAGAAATGAGGAAGGGAATAAATAAAGGATAAAAGTCACAGAAGTTTAATTTTTTAAAAAGGAAAATAAGTTAGCAAGAATAAGAAAAGCTAGTCTTTTATTTATTTTTTTTTGAAAAGCTAGTCTTTTAAAGAGGCTTACACAATAGGCAAAATTTGTAGCAAAATGATCATGACAAAATTTTTAAATAGGTGAAAATAAAATGAAAGGTAGAATGAGAAAGAAATAACTACAAATATAGCAGATATAAAAGTACTAGCATTTTAAAATACACAGAAATTGTCAAACTGCACATGCTGCTATGTTATTCACAAGAGTAAACTAAATTATAAACAAGGAAATATTATAAATAACTATATACCACCAGTACAGGTAGCCCTGATGATGTAGTGGTTACTCTCTGGGCTGCTAACTGCAAGGTCAGCAGTTAGAAACCACCAGCCACTCTGTGGGAGAAAGATGAGGCTTTCTACTTCCGTACAGAGTCCAGTCTTGGAAACTCTGAGGCAATGCTACCCTGTCCTATAGGGTCACTATCAACCAGCCAGCATAGACTCAATGGCAGTGAGCTACATGCCTAAGTGACAGATATACTTCTAGAAAAATATAACTGTAGTGTTACCACAGGAAGAGGTAAGTGGACTTTGAGTATACAATTTGGTTTGCTTTGTCTTTCTTTTATTACCCAAATCAGTTTGGAAGGGGAGGGGGAAGAAAAACTATGAAATCCCAGGAACAGGAACGCAAACAAACGGTGGAAATGACATTCAGCAACGCACGGCAGCACACGCGAGATGCCGGAGTCACAAACTGGACGGAGACGATAGGTTGGGGGTAGGTGGGGACTGTATGTGATTTTGGAATCGCACTTTAGTGGAAGTATAGGGTGAAATAAAATTATATCTTCTGTTTAAAAACTTTTTTATTTATAGATGTAAATATGAAATCTAAAACATAAAGTTAATCAATGAAAATGTAAAATAATTGAGAATTTGGGTTGGGGAAACGTTTATTTCACAAGCTCTAAAAAGGACCAGCTAGAAAAAAGAGACTCATGTCTGTGTCATGAGTGAGCCTGAGGGGCGCCGTTGCTCCCTTGGTATCAGCCTTGTGGAGGCCATCCCCTGCTGTCGTCAGGGCTGCTGGCCCAGGAGCGACAAGTTGTCGCTGCTGACCACCAGGTCAGCAGTGTGAAGCCACCAGCTGCTCCTCGGGAGAAAGACAGGGCTTTCTCCTCCCCTAAAGAGTTACAGCCTCAAACCCACAGAGCAGTTCTAGCCTGTCTGGTAGATAGGCATCGGCTCGATGGCAGTGAGCTTGGTGTTTGGGCTTGGCTGCAAAGGACGGCGCAGGCTCTAAGTGCCAGCCCCCTGGGGAGAGAGGGCCGGTGCTGAGGTCTGGGACTAGGGAGGCCTCCAGGTTCTAAAACGGAAGAGGTCACGTGGCGGCCTGAAGAGCTACCCTCCTCGGAGTGTGCAGACTAGCTCTGCAGGAACCTCTGAGTCAGGAGCCGAAAATACAGGTGTGGGTGGCCAGGTGTGGGTGGCCAGGAGGGGCTGGGAAACGTAACTGATGGGGACCTTGGGCAATCCTTTGCTGCCCGTGCTTTCAGGGTGAGTGTGGGTCCATGTAATGCAGGGGTGGGCAGGCCACGGACACCTCAGCACCAACCCAGCCTGAGCTCCAGAAACAGGCACGTAGAAACTAGCTTGCAGGCCCGCCCTGACAGTGTGCAGTAGGTGGGAGGTGGCTCCGGAATTTCCATCTGACTGGCACCCACGGGCAGCCAGGGTTCCAGCCAGGGCCCAAGAGGTAGAACTCAGCTGGCAGGGAAACGCAGCACGGGGGGTGGGGGCTGTGTGCACATGAGTGTGTGTAAGGAGGTGTGCAGGGGGGGGGGCGCAATGGGGCATATGGGGAGTACACATGAGGGTGTTTGTGGGGGGGGGGGCGGTGCATGTGTGTCCAGGTGCAGGATGGGAAGTGCAGTGGCCAGCATGCTGGGACAAAAGAGGACCAGAGGTGCCAGGAAGGTGCCAGCTATAGCCAAACACTCTCTTCTGTGGGTGCTCCACCCCCACCTAGTCCTGATCCCGTATCGGAAGGCTGTTCATCGCCTGCCTCGTTCACCACCCTGGCAGCCCCTTGTCCAGATCCTGCCGTGCAGCCGTGCGTCCATTCAGTCCACAGACATGATTTAGTAAGCCCCTCGTCTTCCAGGACTCCTGGTGGCAGCAGTTTGAAACGACCAGGGGGAGAGAAAGCGTTCTGCACTTGTAAAGAGTTAGTCTCAGAACCCACAGGGGCAGTTCTACCCTGTCCTATAGGGTTGCTATGAGTCGACATCGAGTGTGGTTCGATTTTTCCTCTGCCAGGCCCAACCTTAGCAAGGAGCAAGGTCCAGTCAGCCCCTCCAGAGCTTCTAGTCTAGGGGGAAGGAGCCCATCCGACAAGCAACTCTCTAGACAAGCAGACACCCAAAGGGAGATGCTGACCCCTGGCTCAGGAGACCTGGAAAAGCTCCCTGCAAGACGTTTTGGTTTGCCGCTGCCCCAGCCATTCCCTGCCAGCAAGACCCCAAGGGGGTGCTCCTCGCCTCTGTGGGCGAAGCGAACCCGAACCCAGCGCTGCGGGCAGCCAGTGCGCTCACTGGGTCGCACAGAGCTAACTGCCTCGCCTTCTGCCCTTCAGATCCACTTCCCGGACGTGGAGCGGGTCGAGTGGGCGAACAAGGTAAGGTCACCAGCCGGGCCTGGGGCGCTGTCGTCGGCTGGGTCTGACTCTGCTTCTGGCCGCCGGCCCGTGTGCCCGGCGGCTAAGTGGCTCGCTGCAGCCTGATGGGGCCTGGGGCTGTGCCCGGTCTGCCTGAGCACACGCCTCCCCCACGTTGCAAAATGTATACAGAGACAGTTTTAAATTTACACATGGCCATAGCAGGAAAGTTAGAAAACAGAGACGTTTGCCATCTGCCACTGGCCCACTAGGCGGAGGTCAGCGCCTTCCTGGCCTGGAGAGGAAGGGCTCCCAGCCCAATCCGGCCCTGGCTGCGTGACCTCGGGCAGGTTGCCTCAGGTCTCTGAGCTGGTTTCTGCATCTGTCACGTGGGATAATTACAGTCCCTACCTCACGGGATTGTCATGAGGATCGATGCCATCCTTCCTGCGCGACAGTGCCTGGCGCATTGTGAGCGCTCCAATAGTCATTGTCCTCCTCGTTCAGGTGTCAGCCCACCAGTCACCTCAGGCTGGGCAGGGCACTGAGACTCCCAGATGACACATGGCCAGCCCTGGCTTGAACTTTCAAAATGTCTCACTCCATGCCAGGGCTCCTCTGCAATCTCCCTCCCACCCCCGCCCTGCTCTGCCCCTGGGCAGCCCCCACCTCTAGTCTCCTGACTCCCTAGCAGGAAGGACTTGGGTTAGGCTTTAGAAGGGACTTCCTGGGGATGGTTGATCACAGGTTGGTATTCTTAAGCTACCAGAAATGTCAGTGCATCAACTCGGTTACCTGCCTGGTGGTAAAATTTGCCGGAAGCAGGACACACATTTTCAGAGGATTTCCAGGGATTAACGCCATGCCCCTGGCCTGTGGGGCAAGCCATGTCATGCCACTAGCTTGTTTGTGGGCTCGTGCACACATTATGCCTCTGTCATGAACGCCCAGACACTGCATGCCCAGGGCCTGATGGGGAGGCGGCCCTCATCCTGGGGCACGAGGTCCCAGAAGGGATGGCACACTGCGGACGTGCCTGATGAAGGGGAGCAGCCAGGTCTTCTTTAGGACGTGGCATGGTAAGGACGGGGTTTGGAGAAGGCCCTGGAAGAGATAGCTCGGTTTCCAGATGGGACCCTTGGCGCGCGACGTTTCAGGGCTTTAAGCTCCCCCAGTTATGGGCTGACAACAGTGGCGATGGTGCAGCTTTAAACTGAGACTCAAGTCCACAGGGCAGGGGAGAAGTCCGTCCCAAGCAGCACATGATTGGCCCACTAATACCCCTCCACGATCACTCCTGTCACCTCCCATGGGGTTCAAGCCCTCTGCCACCCTTCCTCTCCCCAGGCCCCCTTGATTGGCTCCCAAACCAGCCCCATGGGGCGTTCTGCTGCGGAAATCCAGCCTTTCCTAGTGGCTCCAGAAACAGTCAATCCTCGGGAGGCGATTGAGGTTGCTCTTCTGTGATTCTGCCCCCCAACTTCTGGCACCAGCCACTTGTTGATACCGAACATCGACTGAGATCGGTTATGTTTTAGCACAGAATTCCAAGGCTTCGTAACATGAAGTTTAGTGAGCGAGTGTTCCAGGGTGTTCTGTAAAACAGCTGGGGTCCTGAGCCTGCCCAGGCAGGGGAAGCACTTCTGTGTCTCTCGGGTGTCAGATGGGCAGATGAAAGGTTAGGCAAGCAGGCCCATGGGTGCTGCCAGCAGAGGGGCTGTGGAGTCCTCCCCCACCCGGCTCCAGGGCCAGGCTGCAGAGGATCCGGACCTGCACGGCACTGCAGCCAGGGGTATGGGTGCAACACAGCCTAACCACCAAGGTCCTCTCCCTGTGTCCCTAGATTATCTCCCAGACTTGGCCCTATCTGAGCATGATCATGGAAAGCAAGTTCCGGGAGAAACTGGAGCCCAAGATCCGGGAGAAGAGCACCCACCTGCGGAGCTTCACCTTCACCAAGCTCTACTTTGGACAGAAGGTCAGTGCTGCCGCAGAGGTCAGCCCGGACCTCTGCTGCGCCACCTCTCACCTGTCCCTAAGGACAGGGCAGCCAGGCAGCCACCTGACTGCACATCCCTGCTTGAGCTTCCCCTCAGTCTGCGGAATCCAGGTCTGGTACAGGGGGCCTGTAAAGGAGAATCGGGAAGGGAGACCAGTCCAGCTTTCTTACAGCAAAGCAAGAGAGGAAACTTTCAACATGGCTGTCTGATGGAGAAGCCACGCTTGCTGTTGCTGGCTCCTGGCCTCAGCTGGGGCCACACTGTGTGGGTGGCATTGTGCAGTGCATTTGTCCCTCTCCGCTGACAGACTGACTTGGGAGATTCATCTTACCTGCCGCACAGGTGTTGTACGAGTCCACCAGTGTCCCCAGATAAAATGGGCCCGGCCAAGGAAGCGAGTGTCTCATGTCCTGCGACCATGCTGTCTTTTCTAGACTAGTCCCCTCTCAGACCCTGCCCCTCCTGCCCTAACATGCCCCTTGGTAAATCAGTGTGGGACTGATTCGGATCATCCAAATGTGCCCTCGGACAGAGAGCTGCTGTGATCGCCCCACAAATTCCCTGCCGAGGAGTCAGTCCTGACCCAGGCCAGCCCCGGGACAGAGCAGAACCACTGCCTGGTTTTGTTTCCGAGCTGCCATCGTCCCTGAGGCAGGCTGGCACACCATCCTGAGGAGTGGATGGAGGCTCTGAACCTCCAACCTTTTGGTTAGCCGTAGCCACGGTGCAACCAGGGATCCTTACTGGGATGTCTGTCACCTAATAAATCAGAGGTGCTGGTCAGCTCTGGAACAAGCTGGGGTCAAAGGGCAGGCCAGCCTTCCAAGGGGAGGTGCCCACCTCTGCCTGGCTAGCACCCTGAGTGAGGGGTGATGGGGACTTCCAGGACGGGCCTGCATCAGCATCCCTTGGTTCCTTCATTCCTTCTTGACTTCCTGAGCACTTGCTGGGTGCTGGGCACCATAGGCAGACAGGTGGGTGTGGCCGCGCCCTGCCTTCAGGAAGGCCACCATTTTGTCGTGAGAGGCAGACACATAAGCTGGCCGATGACAGCCTGGCACGATGGCAGAGGAATGCGTGGACTAGGCAGTCAGGGAAGACTTCCTGGAGGGAGTGATATCTGAGTTGGGTCTGGAAGAATTCAGGGGGTTGAGAGGGTGTTCCTCTAAAGCTGCAGTCAGCTGGGTTTGGAGCAATGCCCACCCGCCAGGCATGGTGATGTTGCCTGTAGGGGACCCTGCTGGCAAGCAGATTACTCTGAGGCAGCAGAAGCTGGGTCAGAGGGGGCTGACCCTGAGGGATGCAGGGACACCAGTGCCAGGCCAGGGGGACATGCAGGGGAGCCTGCTTGCTGGCCTGATACCCCCAGCCCTGCAGGCGAAATACCTATTTATTGGTCCTACTATTCAAAGTCCTGAGGTCCCGGCCCCATCTTATCCCTGGCCATGCCAACCCTCTCCACGGGGTCCCCAGGGGAGCCCCTGGCCTTGGCCAGGACCTGCTGCTCTCACCCATAGCCCCATGCCTGAGCCCCGCTCGGTTCTGTGCTGCAGCGACCTTAGGCCAAAGACCTGACTTCCCTGCGCCCAGGTTCCTCATCTGTACAATGGAAGGAGCCGCTTCTCGGGGTCCGTGTGGGATGGGAATGCTGGACTGGGGTCCAGGGCCCCCCCATGTGGCTGTATGGGGCACGGGGCCCAGTGGAGTGCCTCTCACCTAACCATGAGCCCCCAAGCCAGAGCAGGTGCTTGACCAGTGATTGGTTCCTCCTTTCTGGGTTTGAGACCCTGGGCAGGCAGCCCTCCCCAGGGCAGGCGGGGCCTCAGGTCTGTCTGAGCTCTCAGAGGTGCTGGGCAAACCAACTCCCCTTGCCCCACGTGTGAGTGCCTGGCTCTGGGAGCTCAGAGGTCCTGCCTCCTCCCCGGCTTCCACACACCTTTCTGAGCCTCAACAGCAAAGCCTCAGAGGCCAGGCTGGGGCCTGGACTGTTGGCTTTGAAGCTCTGACCATCCTGGGGTCAATTGGGCCCAAAGTGAATCTTTTATTATAATGAGCAATAGTGTTACACACTTATAAAAGCTGACTTGCCACACACATATCACCAACTCTGGGAAGAGTACACACTGTAGTTCCTGGCCAGTTTGCACTCTCTCTCATACTTAAAAAGATGTCGATGGCCCCAGGCTCTTTGATAACCTCCTCAGGTGACAACGCCTTGGGAGAGAGGAGGGATCGAATCTCTCTGAGAGTGAGGTTGACTGGGTGTTTATGAGAAAACGTCCCACCTTCAGGGAAGCTGCCCATCCGTGTGGCTGTCTCTTTACGCAGCTTCCTTCTTGGGCTGCATCTCAGCCAAACTTGAAGACGTCAGGAGAGCAGCACCCAGATTTGAGTTCAAATGAAATCCATTTTGATAATTCATCAATCCGAACCAGACCTCACTCCAGTGACCCCTGGCAGGAGGGGAGGGGGCAGAGTCAGGGTGGAGGGGGAAGGCAGAAGACAGAAGAGCGATTACCTACAAGCTCAACTCCTGCCTGAGAGACTGGGAAACTGGGCTAGGGGACGGGCACTTTACTTTCTAGGGTCACCTCCCTCTGCCAGGGACCCTACCCTCTCTCCTAGCCCTCAGGGGACCAACCCCTACACACTCACCAGCACTCAGGTTAAGGCCTTTCCTCCAGGAAGCCTCGTGGACCCCATGTGACCCAGTGGGACAGCACAGG